ATTTGTAGGCAAACAAGCACGCGGGAACAAGTTTTCAAAATTTCAGCGACATGTGGCGCCCTTGGGAAACCGAGAATACACAAAGGCATGACAAGGGTAAGTCTGTAGACGAATTTGCTTGCTTAATACAAGTTTGCTGAGTATCATAACTAGCCAGCTGGATTGGTGTCGGTTGTTTGAACTCGGAGAGCGTAAACTAGTAAGAATACAAATTTTTTGCAGGAGCAACAGAAAATAAACGAAAACAACGTGTACGGGTCAGCGTAGGTGAAATAGAGAGAAAGTTCATTGTGCAGTGCTACAACCAATGTCATGGAAAACAATGGTCTAATGTTCTCAAGCATGTTAAACAACAAGTACTAGCTGCCGGTCTACCAAGTCATGTAGTAGACATGTATCTAAGTCAGCCTGAAGAACGGCTAACAGGACGAATNTGCTAGAGTTTGAGAAAACAATACTGATTAAAAAAAAATCTGAGTCATTCTCTTAGAGGAAACGCAGGAAAACCATGAAATAAAATCGTACTAAATACTAATAAATAGTAAAGAATGGCCCTATGTGGATTCACCTTCATTGTGTTCTGGTTGATTGATACTGACAAATTGTCTCTAAAGAGCCGCTATTTGTTAGTATCTAGTTTGATTTTATTTCATGGTTTTCCTGCGTTTTTACTACAACAAAAATTGCTTGTGATTGTTGTTCTTCCATCTTTTGAATCAAAATTTCTCTGATGTGGGACAATTCCAAAACAAATACTTTTCCGCAATTGTTTTTAATAGACATATGTGAGTCATATATTTGTATTGCTTGACGTTTTGAAATAAAGCCATTTTCATGCAAGTAGCACTTTAACCAGGATTTTGCTATTAAAGCGAGACGAGTTGAATAGCTCGGCGGATCAGCCTATTCCAAAAATTGCACTGGACACCTACTAGTGCAAGCCTTAACTTATATTTCTCTTATACTGTTTTACAGCCTTGACATTGTATTTTAATGTATTATTATTATGAGCGATAAATCAGGAAATTTGATCAACAGTCACTACGCAAGCGAAGCGTTCCGAGCATGCTCTGTTGACTTCACACATCTATTGAAATCGCCTTTAAAATGAAAAAAATTAAACGAACCTAATTTTCAACAGAAAATAAAAAAAAAAACTTTTTCTGACAAATCAAAAACTCACATGAAGTTATCAAAACTATGATTTAGCTTCATTTACTCCTTCATGTTCAAAGTTTTGAGTTTTTAACTGTTCACGACGGAACTTTATCGCTATAGATTAATTGTTGACATTACTTATTGTAATTATTTCTATTCTTGTTTATCGTTTATGGGCTACCTGTGTTGTGCCCGGGCCCACTCGGTCATGTTGGTATGTTGTAAACATGGCGGAATTAAAGAACATGTGAGTTGTATTTGGTTGTTCGATTCGTTGGTTTAATCCCGTCCTCGGGGCCATCCGACCCAAATCCTCAACAATCCGAAGAGCCGGCACATTAATTTGGTCCTTCGAGCCRGATATTTGTAAAGAAACGAGGTTTTCTACCAAAAATGGATGATCAAAACGGAATACCGAAAGCGAAGGCTTCGAGGAAAGTGAAAAAAGCTAACGTTACGAGGTTAGTTAATCAAATACGACAACATATCAACGATGGGATTAATATTCATTCGCTTAAGAAGCTTCCTTCAGAACTAAAGGAAGCTATTGAGATGATGGAAATGTCTAATGAAGTTCTTTATTTACTCGAACCTGAAGATGATGAACATGATCAATGGCTTGAGACTGCTTTACAACCTACTATATCGTGTTTGTCAGACATCGAAGGATATATTCAACAGCATTGTGAATCWTCATCAACTTCTTCAAGATCTCAACGTAGTTTCTCTAACCGTATGTATTATACATCAAGTGAATCAAGTACTTACTCCAAAGCTCAATCTAGTAAATCTAGTGCAAGTCATGCGAAATCGTCTGTATCAAAAGAGAAAGTACATTCACGTGAGAGAGAAGCAAAGTCAACCTCATCACATCATTCCAAAATAAGTTCTTTGTACAAAGATAAGATTGTAGAAGCTAAACTCATAGAGCATGACATTGAAGTTACATCAAAGAACAATGAGGAGGATAGAAAAATGATGTTAGAACAAGATATAAAGGAAAAACAACTCAGAGAAACACAAGCCAAAGCTGATCAAAAGGCATTTGAATTGCGRAAACTCAATGAAGAGTCCATGCGTGCTCGAAAAGTAAGGACACTTGAAGAGAGTAAACAGAGAGCTATACTAGAAGCAGAACTACTTCAAAGAATGGAACAACATGATGTAACATTACATAATCAAGTGAGTCTAACAACATCTACTACCACATC